TGTTTTTTTTTGTTTTTTTTTTTTGTTTTTTTTTTTTTTTCCCGCGGAGCGGAGTGATCTTGACGTGAGTGTAGTAGCAGTACAAGGTGTATCTATGAGTCACAATAAAAGTTTGCAAGCTTGTCTGCCATGCGGCAAATCATGCACTGGCCCATGGGCGGAATGCGTATTATGCAGAGGGTTTTTCTTCCAATCTCTTTTCTGTCGCCCGATTGATTGCAGTTACGAAATGAATAATAACGACGTCTTCCGCGTAAAATCTATTTTTTTGAATTTTTCATCTTCAAGTTGACAATGTAAAGTAAACATGTTCATTTTTGTTTGTCGCCATATATATATCTATATTTTTTTTGTTACACCTGTCCGGGTGCTGCCGACCTCCCCCGAACAGAACGCACCCCGAAATTGAACGTATACAAGCGATCTGTCCGGTGCGGTACAGCCAAGATGAGGTTGCGTTGTGTTCGGGGGAAGACGGTAGGGGTGCTGATAAAAGCAGTCACAGCGGTAGCACCGAAGGGGGTAGTGGTCATACATATACTCTGGGTCTGAGATGTCTGCGCGTGCCGGTCTTTATTATGAATTTATGAGAAGATAATAATATAATAAACAAAGGAATGTTTCTTCCCCTCGGATTCGTCGTCGAAAGTCTGTTTTGCGCGCAGGCAGACCATGAGGTCGAATACTTTTCGGGGGCTTTTGCGCGCAGGCAGACCATGAGGTCGAATACTTTTCGGGGGCTTTTGCGCGCAGGCATTTTTATTTTTATTTTTTTAAAAGAAAAAGAAAGATATCTGTTCTGATAAGTTTAGTACCTGATCTGTCGTCCATCGGGAACACCGGGGGCTAGGTCCCACTTACACGAATTAAGCGATAATGACCGTAGATAGCAAAGATCAACGGCCAGAGTCTCTTAATCCGTGCAAGTGGGACCTAGCCCCGGGGGAAAGAGCTCGTTTGCTTCTGAAATTTGATGAATACAAAAAAGGGGGTGGCTCAGTGGGTAACAACAGTGAACTGATAAAAATACGGACCTCAGTTCGAACTCAGATGACGGAACTTGACGAGTAGTTTTCTCCCAAAAAAAACCTGACTGTGCCGTAGTTTTCTGCAAAAAAGAGAACGTAAAAAAGGAAAACCGACCGTCTAAAGCGGAAAAAACGCAGAACCGGTTGCCAAGGACGATTGGATAATAAGTGTCTGAATGTCGACGTATTCCACGCAGAGATGCAGAAAAGCAGATCAATCACAGTTTTCTGCACCTCGCAACAAACACGTCCAGATTCAGACACTCATTCCAACCCTCTTTGGCAGTGGGATCTGGCCGTCGGTCTCCCTTTTTAATTTTTTTGAGAAAACTACGGCGCAGTCAGGGTTTGAGTTTGAAAGGGTTTTGAGTTTGAAAAATGCACTTTCTTTCTTTCTTTTTTTTTCTTTTTTCTTTTTTCCCCCAAGAATCAAATGAAAAATGCACTTTCACACAAGAGCCTAGCTCAGTGGGTATACCCATGAACTGTTGAAAATACAGACCTGTGTTCGAATCCAGATGACGGAACTTTCAGAGTAAAACCAACTCTACTAATGAATTGCCTGGGGCCAGTCAGCTCAATGATAATATCTCAAGAACTGAAAATGCCGAATGTATGCAAGCTATAGGTCTGGGGTCGGGTAAGGCCACGTGGGGGTGGGTTATGTTCGGGTGAATGCCTGAGGTGCATTTTTAAAACTGTTTTTGTGACTGCGCCATAGTTTCCCCCTTTTAATACCTTTCTCGGCATTTTGGCTAAGATCAAGTGTAGTATCTGTTCTGATCAGTTTAGTATCTGATTCGTGGTCCATCGGGCCACATTTAAAAAGAAAAAAAAAAAAAAAGTTTCCCCCTTTTTTTGGTTCCGTGTTTGTATCGTGGAGTGATGTAATAGGGCCAATGGCCTTGGGGGTATCATCGTTGGCCGCCGGCGCCAGGTGATTCAGGATTATTTTATTCCCCTTGTCTAGGCACACCAGGGGCCTGGTCCCATTAGCAATGAGGATAGGGTTTAATTCATGAATCTGGATGGGTGTTGCTCAGAGATGCAGAAAAGCATACCAATTGCAATTCTCTGCATCTGTCCACAAACACGTCCACATTCAGGAATTAAATCCAATCCTCTTTGCTGATGGGACCTGGCACCAGGGGCCAAGTCCCACTGACGCCGATTCTTCATTTCTGGCCGTTGATCTTCCGATTCTACGGTCAGATTTGGAGGATTCGGGTACGAAGTGGGACTTGGCCCGAGGACTCGACTGCGGTCTGTCTGTCTATTTCAACAGTTCATGGGTGTGGCAGCTGAGCTACAGTCTTCCACCGAATACAACGTTCGGTCATTATAGCTGAATTTAGACTGAAAGATAGACCAAATTCAGCTATAATGACCGTACGTTGTATTCGGGGGAAGGCTGTAGGTCTGTTGGTCGTTGATTCTTTTTCACCCGCGGAGCAGATACAAGCGGACCCTCGCTCCTGGTCTTCAGACCCGGTCTTTCTCTTTGGCGTAAAATGCATGCATGCATGCATGTTGTGTGCATCTGGACAATCTCTACTGCATAGTGCATGACTCCCCGCTGGCGGAGAATAATGCCGTGCTGAAGCTCTGGTTGCGGTTCCGTGGTGTCTCCAACCCCCACCCGTCCCCCCTCCAGTTTCTCCATCTATCAGGGAACCACCTAGTACCTGCCTGTTTCTCTGCCTAACTCGTAGTGTAGGTTGGCACCTGTGCTCGTACGAGAGAGAATTTTCCTATTCTGCCCACATCATCATATGCTGGTTTGGGACTGGGCCTGCTTGCGTGCAGGGGAGATTTTTCCTCGTCTTCCCTGAGCCTCCTGAGGCTCTCGTTTCCGTATGATCTCTAACTTCATCACATCTGTTTGAATTTCTCGAGTCGTTTCTTCTCTCTTCTTCCCTCTACTTTATGTACACCACCAGCCAATACCTACCCACTCATAGCCCTATCCCATGGGGTAGGTTGGCACCACTGTGTGTGTTGGGCAGTGAAGCTTTGGCGAACACCCAGTGCACGAATATTTTTATCCCATGGGGTAGGTTGGCGCCACTCCCCGGTTCGGGAGTGAAGCTTTAGCGAACACCTACCCATCCACCCAACCATATCCCTATCCCATGGGGTAGGTTGGCATCACTGCGTGTGTGTTCGACA